ATTAACTCCTTTTCTAGACTCAACCCCCTTATAAGATGATGAGATATTAAAAGCCAAAAACAAGATTTTAAAAACAAAACAATATTAAAAAGGTCTGGCTGCCACTTAAGCATGAGATCTTGAATTCGAACTCATACGAATATAACAAATGCCCTTGAAAGAGCTGCATTTAATCGGACCCAACAATATTCGAATTTGATCCAATCATATAGTCAAATCAAGAAAAGAAGAACTCTACAGGCAAAGTTCATAGAATAATCCTAATAAGCTAGCCAATCAATATATTTATTAGCTTCTCTGTAAACATGAACAAGATAATCATCAATTATATGTTCTCTAGAGATATTGGCTTTACTGCATTTTTCATGCTAACAGAGTTGTGCAGTGATGTTAGACAAATACCGAAGTTTTTTTCCAGAAACTCGTTAGCCAATTGTCTTGACCTTCGTATACTCCTCTGATCCTATTTATAAGTCACTTATAACATATTTTACATAGATCAAGAAAAACTTTAAACTTCATTAATTCTTATTTAAAATTCAATAACTTTTCAACTTTATCCTTATTTAATATACACTATACTCCCTCCGCCTCTTATTATAAGATCCAATTTTTTTCAATGGGTTTGTCCCTTTTTATAAGATTCTCTTTGAATTTGTCTGAGCATTTAATGTAGTATTACCTATTTTACCCCTAATTTAATATATTTAATACATTCTCTTTTTTCATTTATCTCACTATTACTCTATCACATTTATCTATTTATATATAGGGGTATATTTGGAAAAAAACTACATTTGCTACATATTAATTTCTTTTAACTAATTTTAACTATTTTCTTAAACAGCGTAATTTAGTTAAAAAGATCTTATAACAAGGGACAGAGTAATACCTTATATAAACAAAGTTAACACAGTCATAAATGGGAGGTAAAATTACATATAAAAAAAAATTTCTTAGTACCTATAAATAAGATTAAAAAATATCTTCTCTCTCTTATAAATATAATCAGAAAAGTATAATTTATGATCAACCGAAGCACTTCCATCTAACTTGACCTAATAAGAGAGAGGAAATCCTTTATTTTATTTTTTAAAAAAATCTATATTTATCAAAACACTGCGTTTGTTTCAAGATTTTAAGAAAATTTTGATGTGGATCTGAAGATGCGGGCCAAATAAACAAATAATAGAGTGAAGGTTGAAATAGAAAAGTCGTCAATCAAGGGAGCCTCGGTTCCCAAAATATTTGGGTTACAGTTTTCATGGTGGAAGTAATTGGACCATTTCACTTTTTCTGAGCCGAAATGCGTAACATGCGCAATCTTCTTTGTTCTCTCTGCCACCTAATGCCTCTCTCGCTTATATCTATTCACATCTGCCTCGGATCTTGAATTTGTACTTCCTTGTTCCGTGTGAGATGTAAATCCTAATCTTTATAAATCCTAAATATTGTAATTTGTTATCAGTTTTACATACACACACACGTATATAAAGTGATTTCACTCTTTGATGCGAGTTGAAGTAAAAAAGAAATTTGTTTGCACAGTTTTAAAAACCCATTACTAAATGTTGTTACTGTTAGTAAAGATTCACACTTGTGTGGTCTAATCCAATTCAATCAGAATTAATAGGATTCAATGTGGGTCCCAAAATCAAGGTCAAAAAAAATGTGGGGCCCAAAAGTTGTTTGATATTTAAAAAGGCTTAAAGAATATTTATATGCCCTGTGTACTTTTGTTCTAATATGGTTCCCAATATTTTGAAAAAGAATGCAAAATGTGCCCTCTGCTTTAATAAAAGTTTAAAACACTAATTAGTACCCTAAACTTTCATTCGTGGGTTCCACCCTATTCAACAGTCTAGAAGCACTTTAAAAAAATGCTTTCATACAAGTCAAGATAAAATTCTTTTCATATATTTATTTCAAACTTCATAAAATTATTTATAAAACTATGATTTGATTTTTATTCAAACACATCTTTAATTAATAATAAGAACAAATTGCTCTCTTTTTTTTTTTGAACACTTAGAATTTATGTTGTCCTAAAATTTTATTTATTTAAAGCGATTTTATGTTATACAAGTACAAGATAATATGAAGTGTAAAAGTGATTTTTTTTAAGCTTTCACAACCACCCCATAAATGGAAGTGTAGGGTAACAATTATCTTTATACAACACTTTTAAGACAAAAATACCCTTTAAAACCTTAAAAAAATGAAAATTGTTTCTCGCACGGATTGAACCCATTAGACCAATCACATATCTCCTCAGCTTTAATTTTTCTCCTCATAACATCAATTTTAAATTTTAACTACCTAATAGAAGAAAAGAAAATCCTCTAGAGGATGTTATACTATTATTGAGTTACTGATAACACATCTTCTCAATTTTTTTGGGGGTAAATTCTCAAACTTAAATGCATAATAATGCTAGAAGAAAAGAAAAACCTCAAGAGGACTTTGTTATGGGCTTAAAAGTAAGCCCATCATTTATAATTGAGTGGGCCAGACAGAACCATGCACCTTGTTTAAGACACTTGGTTCTAACGGTTTGAGTTGATGTCATTTTTCACTTTTTTTTTTTAAGTTTATAATTCAATCAATCCACTATGAAAATATAAAGTAATTCACATAATAATAATAATAATAATAATAATAATAATAATAATAAGTGCTTCTGCTTTTCAAGAGATGGAGATTTCAATCTCCCTATATATAAAGTATAAACTTAGTGTATAACCATCATCATTGTACAACATAAAAGTTCTTTGATGAGTAAAATCCTCTTAAAAATATGATATTACCTCCGGTTTTTAATATAAGACTTTATTTAAAGTTTATTTTGATCATAAATATAAGACCTCAATCCAATCAATTAAATTCTAATAACGATAGTTATAACTAATACATTTAATTAGCAAGGATATTTTAAGAAAGACAACACCTATTTATTACAAATAACTAACTTAACTTTTTTTTTAATTTACTCAAATTATTCAATTAGCTATTATATTTAGGATTAGAGGTAGTACTAAATCAAAATAATTCAAACAAGGATAAAAAATGACCCGATAAATTAAAAAGATTTGCTTTATACACATAACGGCTTTGAAGTGAGTGAGTGAGATTGGAATTTGAGAAGGGTAAGATGTAAAATAAAAATCCAAAACATCAATTTCTGGGTTTTTGTTGGTGTGTTTGGTATTTTCAAGAACATCATTTTCGTTAATGATATTGCAATATGCATATATAGAGACATCATTTTCAGTTTTTCTGGCAAACAAAGAAAGCAAGCTGAATTGTGCCATTCTCTTTTGGACGGTTGGACCCCATCAATTCAAGCAAATTTGGCTGAGTCTCATAATGGTCCTTTTCATTTTCTTCTTCCTCTTCTCCTTCTTTGTAAGAAGTTGCTGCGTTTAAAACACTGACAATTATGCTTCCTTTTCATTCATGCTCAATTATTGGATTTGCTAAAAAACATGCAAACTTGGAAAAAGATGGCTCACATGATATACAAAAGCCTCACCTTAAAACTAACAAGTATATTTTCTCTAATCCTAAATATAAATCATTTTTCATTAATTCATAGTATATATCGATAAAAATAATTAAAAACATTAAATTTATAATAAAATTCAACTTGAGGATACTCTGAATTACACTAAAAATATCACTTAGAAAATTGACTTGATCCAAAATATAAATTACTTAGGAAGTAATTAGTGCCTATTTGTGAATTTTGTTCTTGTAATTAATGCTTAAATGTAGTAACTTTTTATATTTTTTATGCTTCACAAATTCATTTAATATAGGCTTAAAAAAAATGTGGGGCCCAAAAGTTGTTTGATATTTTAAAAGGCTTAAAGAATATTTATATGCCCTGTATATTTTTGTTCTAATATGTGCACTGTGCTCTAATAGAAGTTTAAAACACTAATTAGTACCCTAAACTTTCATTTGTGGTTCCCACCCTATTCGATCGCCTAGAAGCACTTTAAAAAATGCTTTTATATAAGTAGAAACAAAACTCTTCTCATATATTTATTCCAAATTTCGTAAAATTACTTCTAAAACTGTAATTTGATTTTCATCCAAATACGTTCTTAATTAATAATAGGAACAAATTGCTCTGTTTTTTGAACACTAGAATTTACGTTGTCCTAAAATTTTATTTATTTTAAGCGATTTTATGTTATACAAGTACAAGATAATATTAAGTGTAAAAGTGATTTTTTTTAAGCTTTCATAATCACCCCATGAATGGAAGTGTAGGGTAACAATTACCTTTATACAACACTTTTAAGACAAAAATACCCTTTAAAACTTTGAAAAAAAATGAAAATTGTTTCTCACATGGATTGAACCTATTAGACCAATCACATGTCTCCTCAGTTTTAATTTTTCTCCCCGCAACATCAATTTCAAATTTTAACTACCTAATAGAAGAAAAGAAAAGCCTCTAGAGGATGCTATGCTATTATTGGCTTACTGATAACACATCTTCTCAATTTTTTTGGGGTAAATTCTCAAACTTAAATGCACAATAATGCTGGAAGAAAAGAAAAACCTCAAGAGGACTTTGTTATGGGCTTAAAAGTAAGCCCATCATTTATAATTGAGTGGGCCAGACAGAACCATGCACCTTGTTAAGACACTCGGTTCTAGCGGTTTCAGTTGATGTCATGTTTCACTTTTTTTTTATATAAGTTTATAATTCAATCAATCCCACTATGAAAATATAAAAGTAATTCGCATAATATATATAATAATAAGTGCTTCTGCTTTTCAAGAGATGGAGATTTCAATCTCCCTATATATAAAGTACAAACTTAGTGTATTACCATCATTATTGTACAACATAAACGTTCTTTGACGGGTAAAATCCTCTTAAAAATACGATATTACCTCCGGTTCTTAATATAAGAATTTATTTAAAGTTTATTTTAATCCTAAATATAATACTCTTCCGGTCTTTAATATAAGACTCATTTAACTAATTTGATTAGATTAAGGAAGTTAGGTAAGTTAGTTAATTATAAAAAAAATGTGACACGTTTTTCCTAAAATACCATAATCATCTTTCTTAATACCCCATCTCCTTCTTCTACTTAATTATAGTTGAGGGAGTATCTATAGGGGTAATTTAGAGAAAATTGATAAATATGATAAATGAGTCTTATATTTAGGATCAAAACCAACTCAATAATTGGGTCCTATATTAAGAATTGGAGGAGTACCTCAATCTATTTTATCTCTTATATTTATGTTTTTTTTCTAAGATAGTCTTTTTAATTATGATAGTTATAACCAATACACTTAATTAGTAAGGATATTTTAGAAAAAATAACACCTATTTATTATAAATAACTAGCTTAACTTATTTTTTTTAATCTACTCAAATTAGTCAATCAGCTATTATATTTAGGATCAGAGATAGTACCAAGTCAAGATAATCCAAATATATAAGGATAAAAAATGACCCGATAAATTAAAAAGATTTGCTTCATACACATAACGGCTTTGTAAGTGAGTGAGTGAGATTGAAATTTGAAGAGGGTAAGATGCAAAATCAAAATCCAAAACATCAATTTCTGGGTTTTTGTTGGCGTGTTTGGTATTTTCAAGAACATCATTTTCGCTAATGATATTGCAATATGCATATATAGAGACATCATTTTCAAGTTTTTCTGGCAAACAAAGAAAGCAAGCTGAATTGTGCCATTCTCTTTTGGACCCCATCAATTCAAGCAAATTCGGCTGAGTCTCATAATTGTCCTTTTCATTTTCTTCTTCTCCTCCTCCTTCTTTGTGAGTTGCTGCTGCGTTTAAAACACTGACAATTATGCTTCCTTTTCATTATGCTCGATTATTAGATTTGCTAAAAAACATGCAAACTTGGAAAAAGATGGCTCACATGATATACAAAAGCCTCACCTTAAAACTAATAATTATACTTTCTCTAATCCTAAATATAAATCATTTTTCATTAATTCATAGTATGTATCAATAAAAATAATTAAAAACATTAAATTTATAATAAAATTCAACTTGAGCATACTCTGAATTACACTAACCAAAATATAAGTTACTTAGAAAGTAATTAGTGCCTATTTGTGAATTTTGTTCTTGTAATTAATGCTTAAATGTAGTAACTTTTTATATTTTTTTAATGCTTCACAACTTCATTTAATAAAGGTAAAATTGAAGAAAAATTTTCAATTTAAAACAAATTTAATAAATTAATTATTATTTTTAATTCTGATAAGTTAATTAAAGTAGCTTAAAGCGGATGGGGGATGTGCCATGCCATTTTGTGCTTTTCTTCAAATATCCTTATGATTAAGTCTACCATAAATAGTAAATTTGTTGGCACTACAGACTCTATAGCCTGCGGCGTAGAGCCTTTTGCATCTTCGTCGCCATTATTAATTGGATCACCAAGATCTCTAATAATCATAATAACAATAATAATTTCTTACAATCAACTTCTCTGCTCAACAGCTTATCTATAATTCATTGAAGATGTTGATCGATCCCAAAATAAGACAATTCCCCATTATTGTTTTAAACTCAAACTAATTGCATGTTGCATGAAGTTTGAGTAATTGACAATATTATTCATGACTCATTTTAGAGTTGGTAATACATTTCATCCGTTTATATATAGAATTTAACCATTTCACGAAAAAAAAAAGGAATTTAGTTAATTTATGTAGTAATAGTAAATTTGTCAACAATCTATTAAGAAATAAAAGTAATTTCGAGAAAACTTTGTATGGGTTTTTTTAGAATTAACTTTAAAATTATGGGGTAATTTCTTTCTACCTCATCACTGTATCCCCATTTCCTCATTAATTCACGAGGGCCTTTTTTTCTTTGGAAAAAAAAAATTAAATGGAGTGTTATGGAAAGAAAGGATCAAAGACAAATTTTTTAAAAGGTTCTTATGTAAAAGAACAATAGGAGTACATAAAACTAATGCTTTTTCTTTTTGGTACAAAAAAATATAATGCTTTTCGAACTGTTAGGCCAGGATCAATAATTTAGGGTATGGAATATGTATGTGGGTTTGCCTTTTTTGGAGGGTAAGGTCGCATTCAAACCAAAACCTGTTGGGACACACTGTATGTGGGAATCATTTAATTTAACTAATGAAATTACAATAAGAACCAAACATGGCGAAAAGTATAATGTTTGTGTGAGAAGATTTACAATGATGGAGAGGGGAATCTTTTTAAAGGCGAAAGAGGTTAATGTAATGTGAGTTAATTTTTTTTTTCCACTTTTTTTGTTGATATTTTGAATTTTAAATGGGCATTGTGTTCCCTTATCTTGAAATAGAGACTTGTCTGTTCCTTTTTTTTTTTTTTTAATATGTGTGGGGAAGAGGTCGATATCACAATTCACAAACACCGCTTTTGTGAAATGCCATCAATACGCTTGACCTAATCCCAGGCTGTCCCTCGAGACCCTAATTAAATGATAGTAATGTCCTTGTTGAGGTAATCCAACAAGTCAACCAACTTATTAACCTCACATATACAATATATATATATATATATATAGAGAGAGAGAGAGAGAGAGAGAGGAGGGTTGCCATTACATGCCACGTGAATGTTGTATACATGGAGGGCCCAATTCATTAAGGTCACTGTCCCTTTTTCGTGGTGGTTTATGCCTTGCTTTGCATCTTTTCCCATTTTCCATTCATGAAGATGAGGGGTAGAAAACGACAAGTGGAAGGCACTTACTTTCCCCTCTTTTTGCTCTCTCTCTTTTACTTTTACGTAATGTGTGGGTGAATTTAATTGATTGGAACGGTGGCTTGGTGTAATTTCATATTATATTAGTTAATTCATCCACAAGATTAGACACTTGACTACTAAATTTCCGTAAGCCCATTCAAAATGACATACAACTTGCTTTCCTTAATATAAGATCCAAGATAGTAAATCTTGTATTAAGAATAGGATGTAGTATTATAGTATTAAGGTTACCAATATAAAATTTTTTAGGTTTTAGCACTAATGGATTCACCTTAGATGTGTGCATGTATATAATAAAATCGCACTCGCCTTACATGATCCCGCGACGATTTTTTTTTTTTTAACAAGAACCACAATTGGGACGCCTAATACACCAATCTGTGCGACCCACGTTACTCTCACCGACTGGAACCAGAAGCTTCATGAAACTGGAGAACACGCAAACCAAACTGTGATTTGAAAAAGTGATTTTAGGAGAATAGATTCTGAAAAGAATAGATTTTATGAAAAAGTGATTTTGAGAAGTGAGAGTGTTTGGATAGTTGTTATCAGAAGCATTTTTTATATATACAAATTACTAAAAAAAAAGACATAAGTTAATATGATAATTACAGAAAAAATAGATTTTTGATATATTTTAATTTGAAGGAATAAAATTGTTAATAATATATTTTTTATTAACATAATTAATAATACATAAAATAATATAATTAATAAATAATTAATATGTATATATATTTATAAAATATAAGATTAAATATGTTTATAAAAAAAATAACAAGATACATATCCTATAAGCTCTCACACTCTCCCTTTTTTCTCCAAAAACAAAAATTTTTTGCTTTTTTCAAAACCATAGTTTTGGCCCAAAACCATGGTTTGTGCAAATTGGGTGGGTGTTTGGGTGACTTATCACCCAAACCATGGTTTGGAGTGTCACCCAAACGGTGCCTTGGACAAAGAACCCTAATTGGGCTAAAATTTCTTTTAAGCTATGAGGAGTTTCGTTGACTACCGAGAACCAGCAGGAAGTGGATGGTCCATTGAGACTAGTCTGTGACCAATGCTCAAGAGGAAGCAAAGTATTGAAAGGAGCAAAAATGGCCGTGAAATCGTGCTGTGAAAAAGCAGAAAGAAAAGAGGCAATAATGTGAAGCTTTAAGCTTCGTCTCACAAGCATAACAGTATGAAGTTGTTCATAATCCCAATGGGGAAAGGGAATAGATAGCGCCAGGTAAACAGATTTGAATTCAAATCTCAAAAGATAAGCTTGCACATGGGGGAGAGTGATCTCAAAACAAATATTAAATCAAATGAAAGAAACTTCATAAGGAATATTTAATCTTGCAGGCCCTCCTTAATGAATGATTCTTGAGCCGGCCATTTAGGTCCCACCCTGAACCAACTGGATATGGGGGACCTGAAATGAAAACTCTCTGGTTGTGGCCTCTCGATCTTGTTTCAAGAATGAGCACCATTTTCAAACCTCAACCATAATATATTCGACAACATTATTGCAGGCCCAGGCTAATTATTCAGAACATAATAAAGACATCTCAATTCTCATGATGATTATACACCCTTTTCTTATTTAAGTTTCATTTGCAAGCAAGGGAATAGATAATTTAGAAAACAGATCTTTGCAAAAGTGAATGCAGATGGATGAACAATTGAACATATCCTGCTCTTGTGCCTGTATTTATCATACCGAAAATTACAAGCAACCAGCCATGTTCAATTCCTCAAAGAAAAGGATTGATGGACTCACAACTACATCACTCAATTAGCAGAAACAGACTGAGACAGATCAGAAAAGGGAATGATATGAATTCGGAGAATCAATACAAGTAAAATGTTCATAATTATACTATAAATTCGAAAAACAAAAGAAACAAAAGTAAAAGTATAATTATAAGAGACATTAACAATAAACCCACAAACAAGATGCAGCAGCAGAAAGTGCTACCGTCTTTGCAGCCCTGAAATTATGGTCTCCATTTCATCCCTATGCAACCTACTCTTTTTCTCTGCAATTTTTTTTATTTCACAACTCGTTCATAACAATTCAAATCAATATAGAGAGACTTTCTCCTCATACCTCACTCATTAACTACTCTGACCTCTTCTCTGTGCGTCCTTTTATGACTGACTATTGATGGCATCCAAACAAGAACAATACTGGAGACTATGACTAACTCAGTGTTGTACAAACCATTCTCACTTTGTTTATTTTTCCTCCAT